ACCAACTTTTGCGGGCCCAGGATGACATCGATTGGTGGAAAAGGCCGCTCTGGCTGCACTCCAACCCACGCCCCTCACACGCCCTCTCGTTTGCACGGACAATAACTGTACACAGAACCTCTAAGTGCTTCTGGTACCTGCTGCTAACTTTGCTGGATCAGCGGTGGGAAGGGGTGGGTGGAGGGGCAATTGAACACCTTCACAATTCCAGGCGAAAAGCAAGTGCGTGGCGCGATCCAGAAAATAAGAGCAGCGCTTCCACACATTTATGGTGGCCGACAACCCAGCAGGACGAATTACGAAAAGTAAGGGCAACGTTAGGGGCACAACTAATTCACTTGGCAGCGCTAACGACCTTGGGGAGAATGCGGGAGGGCTGTCACCCCTTTAAGTTCTTGTAAGTGTGTGTCTTGGTCTTTGTTTTTTCTTTTGTCTTTTCACGGACGTGCTCACCCTGTAAGCCCTGTAAATTCCTCTCAACTAACTTCAACTAAACACGGAGGTGATTGTAGTTTCGGTGAGATATTTTCATTGCGAGAAAATTGTGGTCATAGTTTTGTCCACCACAGAACAAGATGACAGTTGTCTCAAGTTGAAATATCCCACGAGTAACCCATTCTGTGCCATGCCCAAATGCCACGCCTACCCCGTCTCAAGGATAAGGAGTGTAATTGTGGTCATTGAAACGCCATTTCTCATTTTCTCCAGAATCTTGACCACTAATTTTGACAGCAATTTGACAGCACAAGGTGGTTGACAGGTGATGATAACAAGGGGTGACAAGGTTGTTTGGTACTCACATGTATACAGTTTACAGGATCTGTTGAACTGGCAAGCGCTTACAGGTGCCCCCTTCAAAGTTATCAGCCCCTAATTGCCTTTGTCCAGTTTCCGCCTATTTGGTCGCTCTATCCCTCTCCCTGGACTAAGTTAGGAAGGTTATGACCGTCAAGTTCAGTTTCGTCACTCACATAATCGGAGCTCCTTATCCGAAGTTCGGCTGGAGGGTTGGTGATCACGTATCGCTTCACTGACTCGGCGTTGTCCTGGTCGTGTAACCGATACAGCCCGATACACAACTGACCGTACTTTTTCAATGACGTAGTGAACATCTGGCCGTAAGTGGAGTTGTGCTGAAATAAAGCTAGGTTACTAAAATACGTGTAAAAATTAGGGGTCAAACTTAGCCTACCCCGATTCCCTCGTACGGGTTGTCGTGCAGAGCGATCTGAGCGATTGCGGCATCGATCGCGGTTTGACAGGGTTTCCGGTGTGCTATAACCACCTCGTAGACCAGCACCTTCGGCAAGAATCAGTTCCAATTCCGGTGTGGCACCGCCTGTCACTAGAGTACGAAAATCAACGTCAACGCGGAGTCGTTCCGAAAGTATGTCCTGAAAATAGAGGCTGTTAGGAGAGAAATTTACCAAAAAATGGTGAGAATTCCACTAAATACGACCCATACCCCAAAGTTCGGCGGCACGAACAGTCTCGATATGATTCCAGCCCCACCACTGGCCCCAATCCAACAAATTCAACCAATAGCATGTCCTGATTGAGAAGGGTTGAGGGGGGGAGACAGAAGTAGGCAACCGGCAGAATACAGAAAATGCAAAAATCAATACAAAAAGGACTTCAGGCACACCGGTCCCCCCTTTCACGGGGAAAGCCCGTGCGACAGGCAACCAACCAAATTTCCGGCCAGCGCCCGCGAATAGGCGTCTGGTAAGAGACCGAAAACTAGTGACAATTGTCTGGCCAGTCTGGGCAACGCTCTGTTCCCGCCAAAAAGTTTATGACTGTGGAGTGAGTGTCAAAAAAATGCGTGGCGTATCCGGGAGAACAAAGAAGATAGTGCGAAGCTGATCCTGCCCTCACGTTTGCTCAAGGCATTGTTCCTCTAGTAATCAAGGCACGGTCGTACTGTGGAATCTTCTAACAAAGGGAAGTCATAAAGCGCTCGCTGGAGGAAAGGGTCCTAAACCTGGCTTAGGAAATTTCCGGCATTCCATGACCCCCTTTCGCTCAACAATCAACGCCGGACGTTCCTAGGACAGAAAGGAAGAAGCTGGAAATTTTTTCGTAAACAAGTGGCAGAGGGTAAGGAATTTGCTAATACGCACGGAGATGGTAGGTAGGAGGTAGGAGGTGGGGGGATGGGGAAGACGGGTAGTACCAGAAAAATTTCAAGACGGATCGTATTTTGCAAGGATTTTCCACAACGGCAGGACGTTTCCTGCTAGTCATGCCCGAATGCATGCAATCTCCCACAAAATTATGGAGGAATACTTAACTTTGTGGGGATTTGACCTTTTATATGACGTTTTCTAGAAGAACTGATAATCCGTTCAGCTTAATTAATTTATATAATTTATGCTTGCCCAATTTTACGTAGCCTAATTAGTTGCGTACTTATTAGTACTGATAATTCTCTCACTCCCTCAATAAGGGACCATTAGGATAGATCGCTTTGTATTTTGGTCACAAATCAGCACGGCAGCACCCATTATTAAATATTATGTATTTTGTCGATATATTCATGGAAGATTGAAGTATCTTTTCCCAAAATAAGCAATTTTATCCCACATGAGCAGGCGTATGCACAAACTATTGCGCTATATCCATATCTGCTAGTCAGTGCGATCGTAGCGCGATGGCCGAGTGGTTAAGGCGTTGGACTTAAGTTCCAATGGACGTAAGTCCTCGTGGGTTCGAACCCCACTCGCGCTAAATCTTTGCAAACATTCGAAACGATTGAGTATTCAAATTTTGAGTGAACATTCACAAAGGATAGCGATTATTTGGGAACGGCAAAGCCCGTGGTCCCCACGATATTTGGCTCAATGATTGTGTTACCAAATGGTAGGAACACAATCGTAAGTTCTACACTCCGAAAAGAATTGACAGAAAGAAAGCAGTTCCGAATGGGAGCCATCCGAGCTGCACTGCTACACTTTTTCCAAAGAGATCCAAGCTTTGGGGGGTCGAGTCGCTGAAGCAGAAGTTAAAGCTGAATTTCATGGTACAGTTTAATGTAGCCGATACAGTAGTAAAAGGATAAACCCTTTAGCAGCAAAGCACGTGTACGTTGGAGATCCCCAGCAAGTGTGGGGGGGTCCCACCTGGTCGCTTGAGGTAGGGAAAAATCGTACTTGCCATCGAGAAAAACCTGTAAATCCTTTTGTTGCGCTCAACAACAGCTTTCCGGGGGTACAAGTGGAGTATGTCTAGAAAGCTCTGGAAATAAGGTAGGATGTTGGGAAAGTTCAACTTCGGGAAGATGGTAGGTAAGGTCGAGGATGGGGGGTAAGCAGTGCCTAAATTGCTTGATAAAGTCGCTTACCGTACTCATCAGCGAGTCCAGCACGGAAATTGCGAAAGCCGTGCCGCATGCGAACGGTTGTGTCAAGTACAGCTCTGTGTCGGGATCGTCATCATCGTCTTGATCAAGAAACTGCACGTTCGAATCGTTCACTGAAACGTTCCATTCAGAGTGTATGATTTTATTGCTTTTTGGCGCAGTTCGCCTTGGTGGGTGCACCAAATGATACCTAGCTAAACTTGTACAGGCCACCTTGTGAAGACCTGTAAAGTCTAGTGACCAA